ATGAACACTGCCTTGGGGGTGAATGTGACTTTGTTACCGGCCACTGCACTGGTACACATTTACTGTAAAAACTATGATCATAGTCGTGAACGTCGTTATCATCATCATCATCCTAATCATCATCAGCATTGTAATCATTTTCGTCAGTGTTTTCATCAATCTTGAAGTTATCATTGTCGTCAAATCATCACTGCCATCATCATTGTAATCATTTTAATCATTATACTAATCTCTTTGCCATCATTACAATCATTATCATCAATTTACTAATTCTAGTGCCATAGCTATAATCATTATCATCATTGAACTAATCTCGTTGCTTTCGTTTAAATCATTGTCATCTTTATACTAATCTCATAGTCATCGTTAAAAAACATTAACATAATACATTTTTGCTTAGTAGAGTTCGAGTGGTCACTGATCCTGCTTCTTGTGTGTGTTCCGTGGTCACACTTCGTGAGGAAGAACAAATAATGGCCCTGCCCTCAAACAAGCATGTCATAGGAGACAAAAACAAGCTGTCTTTCGAAAATCAAAAGTGTTGGGCCGAAATGTGCATATATCGCAGCCTAGATGTACACCACAATGCAACGTACATGCCGTATTTTAAAGGCGAACGCAAACAATATAATAGTAGAAATCATAATGAGAATACTATATTTACCCAAATCAGAGGCCGCAGTATTTTAACTGAAAACCGCTAATGAAAAATAGGGTACTTCATATATTCGACATATCAGGTCTACATGCCACTTGTATTCATAAATAATCTAGTTGGTGTTGTCCAGCATTAACTGGCTGTATATTTACTCTGAGGTATTCCAATCATGTTGGATAACTTGACTCACTTCAAACTACACCATTTCCACAGGCACAGAAATTCCACCTGCCCGTATTTTTTTGTTTCCCACATTCCAACAGAATTATTTCTACTTCCGGGTATTTTGTCTCCCTGCCATGAAATGGTTGTCAGTTGCAATGTTTATGGGAGGGCATCTTCCATTCCAAAGTATGGTCACACATTATTCTCATTCCCACTGTTTTGTGTCCATTTTCTTGTGCATGGTCATCTACTTGCAACTTAAATCTACAACTGTAACTTACTCCTCCACGGCCCATCTTTCACTGCTTACAGGTAATATTACTTCTCTTTTGGTCTCTCAACGAATATACCAATGAAGACGAACCATACACAGATAGACGTACACCTACTGCTCAGTATACAAACAAAGGCGAGCAGAAAGCTTTACTATCATACTTGTATCCTTTTTAGGATGCCATTTTTCGATATTTGAAGCCGTACTTTGGTTCATGCCAGGGGCCGCAATATAACCTGCCCATAAATATGGCTTAATGGCTGAACGCTGTTTCTGGGACCTCTATGGGAATACTACAGAGATAACAAAGATTAAACTGAAGAGAACTACAAAACATAAAAGGACACAGTAGGAGGGTGTTTGCCCTATAGATGAGAAGAGGAAGATTTTAAAGTGCTCTATATGAGTAAAATCATACAATTGTGTCGACATTACTCTAGAAATATAAAAATCACCAGCAAGTAAAACTACATACATTTGCACAGCTCACCTGGATTCGTCAGTTCTCTAGGATCGCACAATTCTTCTTTGACAGTAACGGTCTTTTTGAAATTGGTATATCCAGTTGATACTGTTTCGTAATTGGGGGGAGGGGGGGGGGGAGGGGGGGGGGGGTTCATCTTGTATATGAAATCTCTACTGAATGTTACTCACACAATATTTACAAGGATCCTCGATAGGACATTCTACTGATGGACACTGGAGCCTAATCAGCATTTTCGTTAGGACTTTCGGTCGCCAGATAATGGAATCAAGATGGCTTTGATATCAATTCTTGACTCATCTCAACTGAACTCACCTTGAATCAAGATGTCATGCAGTCACATATTCGACAAATGGTGTTCATTAGTGTTTCAAATAAGTTTTCGAGTTAGGTTATTATCCATGCTTTGAGGGTGGACTCGTGAGAGCCAGACGATGTCTGGACACTGCATCTCTTAGGGCCACTAATTCCGAGACCCCCTGCCAGCTTGGTTTAAACTCATGTCAACTATTACCTGTAGCACACTACAGTGATGTGTCGCAGGAGTATTGTATAAGGATTTAGAAAAAAAAAAAAAAAAAAGCGGAAAAAAAACCGCACATAGCGGGCTGGAGCCAAAGGTGAGGTACTAAGTATCCCCACTGCCGTAACTTTCCGTCATGCTTATTGTTACCATGATTTCCTCGGCTTGCTAAACCGAGTTTGGCCCTGTTTCTTTGCATCTTATTACTAAGCATGCGTTTCTTAAGGTTATTTGTCTAATTGTTAGACAGTTATTATCCTCATTTTAAATAATATACCCCCCCCCCCCCGGTCCCCTCGCTTGACCTGGCGTTTAAAATAATTTTGTCACCCAATACCCCTTCCCAGCCCCAACCTGTTGTTTTCCTATATACTTTCAGTGGTGACGCCATTTCCTACGACACTGACTGCTGAAGATGTGAGAGACTTGTGTGGCGACAATTGCACGAATCCCTGCTTCCACCTGTGTGCTGAGGGACTGTGCAACCTGACAAGTGGAGAATGCTTGCTTTGTCTAGGAAATCGTGTTGGACCATTTTGTAAAGGTAGAGAGTTTGGGTCTGATCCTTTACTACATCTCCCTTAAAACTCCCAGGAATGCTAGTCTCCATCAGTCAACGTGTGTTACTTAGGGGAATGTGAACGCAGTTTCATAACTGCACTGCACCAGATAATATGTTAATACGATGATTGGAATGACCTTTTCCTCCAATTTTAGAGAAACAAAAATGTTTTTAATGTTATCCATATACACAATACTCGTCACTAAACTCGAATGCGTGCCCAGTCGTCCTTAGATGCAGTTCTAAGGTGTCCCAGATTATTCTTTCTATGAGAATTTGCGATAGTGTCTGCTATCGTTTCGATACCAGCTGCGGGCTATGCGCCTTGCGTTGGTTTCCACAGTGGTATCAAGAAAGCCGACCGTCCAGGGAGCAGTGGCAAACTACTGGACGTAAATTTGCCAAAATACCACCCAACAGCTAGGGGCTGTTAGGGTTAGTTCTGCAACTAACCAGTCTGCTATCGTGGCCTACAAGGTGGCACATACGGGCTTCTCCAGGTGAAACTCCCATACCACTAAACCTTGTCAACAAGTCATCATTACCCAAGAGCACAAGTATTACCTCACCGTTTAATGGCACGGTGGTGAGGACCACGAGAGGGATGTAGACGATAAGAAAAATTGTATCATGTGAACAGGTTGATGATCTATGTCTCAATAAATACCACTGTCACATGACGCGTTTGTTCCATGTCTTTATTGATCTTTCCCTCGTAATCAAGTACACTCTAAAGTAACTTAATGCTAGATGGAGGCTCGTATTCGTCTGGAAGGTACTCCATAGCTTCAACGACGATCCAACATCACTTCAGAGGCCAGGTGACTTGAATTATGATTCCCACTGCAATAAGAAAGATTCATGGGCACGACGTTGCTTGTCTTCCTCACCACTTAGAAGCCCCCAGTCTAGATAGCAAACATTTAGTCAAAATATAACACAGTAATGAAATCTGACCAAAACAACACCGCACTCAAACAAGCTATCCTACAAGACGTGGAAAAGACTGGACACTGACCAATCTGAATCCAGAATATTAGTTCATTATGTAACAGGTACAACATAGGTAAAGACTCTCAAAGGAAAATAAATGAAGATGACAGATCAAGTGACAACACTGAAAAAAAAAAGGGCTGAACTATTCAAGAAAGACCCCTGGTCTGCCTACAACACTTCAGCACTCAACATGACAAGACCTTATTGTGACGAGGGTAAACTTGGGCACTAAGTGTCTTGGGTGACTGCAGCTCTGAAGGATTCCGAATGCTTATCAGAGATGGGCTTGATCACTTCCACAGTTTGTAGGCCGGACTTCAATGGAGCAGCGTTGTAGCAGGAGTTAGGCAACAGTTCTTGGGATATAATTGTCTCAGCTTCAATGCACTATAGTAAAATGCGCAGACAACACTTATAGTCCGTGTTTAAAACTAGGGAAAGGTTCCTTTAATGCATTTCTAAAGTCAACGATAAACACAATAACCTGCAACACTCTTGTTGGGTTTGGCAGAAGAGCAGATCATGGACCCTAGACAATGACACAGGTTGATGATTGGCCGGTACAGACTGCGATTTGTCAAGTGTGACACCAATTGTTACCTTCTGTTGCTTCCCTACTCAGACTATTTTCAGGCAATCCTGTGTACTGCTTGCTGTACTGTATAGCGGAAGGTGATGTTGTACATGGGATGCAGTGGTATGACAATGGTAGGATATACTTTGTGATTCTAACTACACCTCCAGAGAGGTCAGCGCACATTCTGTAAACCATGGGAAACCATAATTAGCTAACAACTAAACGCTGTACACTGTGTTCTCTCACTTCACAATACAGCATTCAAATTCTCACGTAATAGTGTTAGGTTAGTACAGGCCTGAAACAAAGCGGGAAAATTCTTTCCGCGAACAGGCGGTAGTTCGGCCGATAGAAAAATGCATCGCTTCTCTTAGAAATCACTCACCTATGACTAAATTCATAACATAACTCACTTCCAAATAGATTTTGGAACCAACTGAGTACTTAATACCACATCTTGACACATAAGTACAAACGAAGGATAGTTACTCATGTAGGAAAGTCCAAGATCTGAAAATAGCCCATTTATACATGGGTGTACAAGAGGTGGGCAGGTCCAGGACCAGAGGGGTGTTCTGCTTTCATGCGAAAGCTACAGACCAAAAAAAGGATGTCTACATCAGGTTAGAGTTGTCATGTTTATGTTTATCTTCGAACCTCGGTTTATTTAGGACTAAAACGTTTACAGTTTTGGTCATGCCTTTTGATTCTTCGTTTTCCTCCCAAGTAAACCTTTTAACGTACAATGCGTGGTTTTCCAGAGTGTCTTAGTGGATGGTATGGTGACGATTGCACGAAACCTTGCTCGAACCTGTGTGCTGACAGATTGTGTGACCAGACAACGGGAGCATGTTTTTCCTGTGTTATCAATCGCACAGGGACATTTTGTAAAGGTAAAGCTGCTTATTAGTTCAACAAGATTGTCATGTTATCATCCCTGTGTGGATTCAGGGCCCTAAGTTTAGGGGACGAAAGAACACACTCACTGCCCCCTGAAAAAGAAAAGCATGTCGTAAGAGTCGAATCACTATGGACGTTTTTTTTCCCCAAGTACGACTGGTTTTTTTCCGAGAGGCGATGAAAAATCAGTTTGTATACAAATAAGCAACATCTGTAAAACATATGTGCAGGCTAAATTCAAATTCTAGGACAAGATCAAAGTCAAGAAGTAGATAAACAGCCAACACGTTTACTTTAAGTTTACTTCCGGTGATCATGAAACAAAGAAGAGTTAATGTTTTCAGTCTCCAATCTAAATGTTACATGAACTAATTTGAAATGAATCATGGGACCAGATGTGCGAGAATTGTTGACATTGTTTGAAGCTGTTTCGTTCATCATTCACTTACACTATCCTACGTCCAGACAGTCCCTATACTTAGATAACTGAATCGATCATCTTGTCTCATGATAAAGCTGACATTCTTAAAGGGTGCAGTTGTTCATCATTATGGTTATCGTCATCATTGTTTGCTGGGCCTATTCGCGTGTCGTAGGTAGTCGTGTTTGGCCATCTCACACGAGATGTCTTGCCCTATCTGTACGATGAGGCCATCTAAACATTTACCTCTTACCTTCTCCGTGCTCTCTTTCCATCAGTCCTGCCAGTTGTCACAAAATCATCAAGTCTATTCCTTCTCACAACAGATCTAAAAGAAACTAACTATCTACATAATTCCACCAAGCAGTGCATGGCTCGGGTATTCCCCTGTAATCTATGTTCTTTTCCGATATGACTGGTGATAGAAACGGAGAGTCAGATATTGTGAGCGACAAGATCATCGGCAGTACCTTGTCAGACCAAAATCCTATAGAATGTATTTATTTGATCCCTTTTTTAAAAGTTCCAAGTTCTTCCCATCTCACTTGTTTAATTGTAATCGATGTTTCTGAGCTTCCTAGCGTTATGTCTTTGTTAGTGTCGCTCATTCCGCATTAGAACAGATATCTTATTCATCTTTACCTTTTTCGTTGACATTCAAATACTGAAATAAACAAGACACAAATATATACGCTGCAATAATACATACAAGTATTTTAGTGAAACACAGCAATAGCATGTTTGGAAAAAAGGTTAATCTAAATGTTAAGTAACCCAATCCTGATCGTTTTATGAAACTTTTTGAAGTAAGGACACCCAATACAGTCACATAGACACACGCTTCTAATGTGTTTAATGCCAGAATGCACAGACGGATATGTTGGACCACTGTGTGACAGAAGATGTTCGAAATATTGCTTAAACCGGCTGTGTGACAAGCGAACAGAAAGGTGCTATTCATGTATGACTGGCTATCGGGGCGAATTTTGTAACGAAGGTAATGTGTTGTTTTCAGTGTGTAGTTAGACATATAGCATAACGTGTTGAGCGTGTTATACTAGAGGAAAGAGTTCCAACATAGTTACTACCAATGTCATTCTGTAGAACACAAAAGCATAAGTCCGTGTATATAGTTACTATGTATGTCGTACTGTACTACATAGATGTAAAAGTGTGTCTATACTGTTGCTATGTAAGTCGTTCTGTACTACACAGATGTAGAAATTTGTGTATAAAGTTACTATGTATATGTCATTCTGTAAAAATGTGTGTATATAGTTACTATTTATATGTCATTCTGTTCTACAAAAGTATAAGTGTGTGCATATCATCATCATCATGTGCTCTGCCAACTGGCGTAGGCGCTCGTGCGTTTCCAAAGATCCCTTGTTGCGTGGAACAGCTCTTTGATGATCTTCCCCCCTCCCCCATCCCCCATGCAATCGTTTCAGCCCATCCTGCATCATCTCTCTCTTTGTCTGACTCTACCAATTTTTTTTCACTGATCTTTCCAGTTGTCACTATGTTCTCCAATGTGTATCTTCTCATCATGTGGCCAAAGAAAAGTGTTTGTCTCTTTCTTACTATTGTACATAAAGATCTACTTTCATAAGCTTCTATAAGCAATCGTTGTTAGCTACTCTGGCCGTCAAGGTTTCCGTAACATTTGTCTCAGAAACCACATCTCTGTTGCTTCCAAATCCTGTTCAATAAGTTTACCGACATTCCAAGATTGGCTGCCATACAGCAGAACAGGTTCTATGTGTCAATTTAGCATTCTCGTTCTCACAATAAATAAGAGCGATTTATGCATAGAATATTCTTCTTTTTCTGAAATGCAGCTTTCGCTTAATCTATTCTGCTATTAATCTCTGTCACACATTTTCCATCTGATGATGTGTTGTTTCCAGATATTTGAATTTATTGATTCGGTGAAGTCTTTTTTACTTTAGTCGAGAAATCAGAATATGGCTTTATCATCTTCTTTGATCTAACCATTAATTCCGTTTTCTGAATATACAATGAAAGTAAGTGTACATATTACTATGTATGCTCTACAAAGATGTATAAATGTATGTCTATAGTTACTGTATATTTCATTTTTTTCTACACATAAGTATAACTGTGTGTAGATTAACGATATCTTTATCCCATATATTCTTTATTTCATTATAGTGTTTCCGTCATTCTATAAAAACCATTTTCCATCAGCTTCCACAACCTTTCTCACTTATCTGTGAAGTCGTCCCCTCGTGGTTGCAATTTTTTTTTTTTATTTTGAAGCCCACGCTGGCTTTAGCCGGGGGCACTGAATATAGCCGGGCCATAAATATAACCTAGCCATAGATGTGACCTAAACGGCTGAAATGGGTATCTGGAGCCTCTCCACGACTGATCCTCATTCGCAAAGTGGCACTTTGTGTCACCGTGTGTTTATCGCTTGTGTGATGTCTTGAGGGGGTACTGCCCACGTCTGACTAATCTGTTCACCACTCACATCTAACTAATCTGTTGACTGCCCCATCTCACTAATCTGCTGACTGCCCACATTAGTATCATTAGTCTGTTTAAGACCCATGTATCACTCTGTTGACCGCAACGACTCACTAATCTGTTGACCGTCCACGTCTCACTGTGTTGACCGCCCACTTATCATTAATCTGTTGACTGCCGTGTCTCAATAATCTGTTGACTGCCCACGACCCACTAATCTCTTGACTGCCATCATCCCACTAATCTGTTGACTGCCCACGTCTCACTAATCTGTTGACTGCCCACGTCTCATTAATCTGTTGACTGCCCACGTCTCATTAATCTGTTGACTGCCCACATCTCACTAATCTGTTGACTACCCGTGTCTCACTTATCTGGTGACTGCCCGTGTCTCACTAATCTGTTGACTGCTCACGTTTCAATAATCTGTTGACTGCCAACGTCTCACTAATCTGTTGACTGCCCACGTCTCACTAATCTGTTGACTGCCCACGTCTCAATAATCTGTTGACTGCCCACGTCTCACTAATCTGTTGACTGCCCGTGTCTCAATAATCTGTTGACTGCCCACGTCTCAATAATCTGTTGACTGACCACGTCTCAATAATTTGTTGACTGCCCACGTCTCACTCTGTTGACCGCCCACGTCTCACTAATATGTTTACCATCCACGTCTCACTAATCTGTTGACTGCCCCGTCTCACTAATCTGTAGACTGCCCGCGTCTCACTAATCTGTAGACTGCCCGCGTCTCGCTAATCTGTAGACTGCCCGCATCTCACTAATCTGTAGACTGCCCGCATCTCACTAATCTGTAGACTGCCCGCGTCTCACTAATCTGTAGACTGCCCGCATCTCACTAATCTGTAGACTGCCCGCATCTCACTAATCTGTACACTGCCCGCATCTCACTAATCTGTAGACTGCCCGCATCTCACTAATCTGTTGACTGCCCGCGTCTCAGTAATCTTTTGACTGCCCGCGTCTCAGTAATCTGTAGACTGGCCGCATCTCACTAATCTGTAGACTGCCCGCATCTCACTAATCTGTTGACTGCCCGCATCTCACTAATCTGTTGACTGCCAGCGTCTCAGTAATCTGTAGACTGCCCGCATCTCACTAATCTGTAGACTGCCCGCATCTCACTAATCTGTTGACTGCCCGCGTCTCACTAATCTGTTGACTGCCCGCGTCTCACTAATCTGTTGACTGCCCGCGTCTCAGTAATCTGTAGACTGACCGCATCTCACTAATCTGTAGACTGCCCGCATCTCATTAATCTGTTGACTGCCCACGTCTCACTAATCTGTTGACTGCCCGCGTCTCACTAATCTGTTGACTGCCCGCGTCTCACTAATTTGTAGACTGCCCGCGTCTTAATAATCTGTTGACAGCCCGCCTCTCACTTCCGAACAAATGATGTTTTTTTCAAAAAATCTTTATCACTGCATGCTGTTATGTCACCATGTCCTGTCCTATATGTGAAGTAGGCATAAAGATGCGAACAAGTTCCTTTCACTAGTTGCCCTAAATTGGTGTCTAGCAGATGGTAAAAGGAGAGCCACTGCCTATTTAGAAGAGTGGTCCCAAGTCTAGAAGATTCTGCCTTATCTAAGATGTAGGCTCTTTCCTCGCATGAAAGATCTCCGATCTATAACGGTTGTAGCCACTTTGGGATGCGGTCTACTTTGTTGTGTGTCCCGGCTGTATTACGCTGGAGAGGACTTTTCGCCGGGAAAGTTCTAGGAGTAAATCTCAGATCTGTGACATTGCCATCGGCAAAAACGATGCGACCTGCATAAACTCTCCCCTGTTGCCTTTTAGAGGAAAAGTTTTGAGGTTAAACATTATTCAAACCTACTATGGACCAGCGGAAACCACTGTAGTAGCTAGCGTATCCTTTTTATTTCTTACATGGAAATCTAAAACCGCACATGGGGGAGGGGGAGGGGGGGGGGGGGGTTATGATCACCCGAGCTTGCTAGCAGGGCACTTGCTCATGGTACTAGCTGGAACTACATTAGCTCTATAGCGTACATTGATACATATAATTCAATTGTCATATAAAGTAACTCTTTTATGTAAACATTACCTGCTTCTGTTTCTATTATAACCTTTTGTGTTGCAGAAGTGGAGGGAAACGTGCCATCGTTGTGGATTTTTCCATTGTTTATTCCATACATAGCACTGGTCGTCCTGTGTGTCCTGGCAGGTGGCGGGCATGTCGGGGATCAAGAAGACGAAATTCCTTGAAGTTTAATGTAGCCAGCTGTCTTATTCTCTTCAAACAAGGCCTGCTGTTTGACAAGATGAACTTTGCGGTATTTTGAAGAATGTCTATGGTGCCTGCAAGCTAGAGACAGAACTACACGGATTACAGGTACGGAGGCCTGAGTTTCAGTTGAAGTGCGGCTTCAGAAGAGCAGACATCAAAGAGAACTAATTAACAGCGACAGCTTGCAAGTGCAATTTAAGCAGGAGCATTAGAGGGTTTGGCTGTAGTGCTAGGACATGGGTTTATAGAAGCAAACAATTATGATAACGTTTTGATTGGTTACTCACCGTTGCGGTGTTCTAGATTTAGCTACAGTTGGTTTCCCATTGTGTGTTGCCAAGTCATCATCATCATCATCATGTCTCCTGCCTGCTGGCGTAGGCGCACATGCGTCTCCACAAACCACGATCCGTGGTTGCCTGGAACAGCTCCCTTCATAATATCCCTCCATGCCATCATTTCAGCCCAGCCAGCAGCATCTCTCTTGTTCTGCCTATACCCGTTTTTACACTAATCTTTCCAGTTGTCACGATGTTCTCCGATGTCTTCTTCTCATTATGTGTTTGTCTCTTTCTTATTGGTTGCCATGTCACCTTTGGTAAATGACATTCTTTAAATTTACATGACATGATTATGCAGCGAATAAGAAAACAAGTCTTCTCACAACAACATAAAACATAGAGCTGGTCTGTCGATGTCTGCAATAGTGTCTATACAATGTTTATTCTGCTACATTGCAATTAAAAATGTAACACAGACATGGCATTTTTGTGTTCCCCCCCCCCCCCCGCCCTCTAATGATGTAGTTAGTTAGATCAGATCAGCTAGCATGTCTGAACCAAGGGCTGACTGTGATTCCTCAGAAGCAAAGTGCAATGACTTGCACGGCAAGAACCAAAGGAAAAGTGGTTCAAGAAGACAGTGCAGCCTTTGCTTCTACCACCAGCAGTATGACAATAGAGGTGATGACTTTGACAAAATCCCTAGATTGACTGAAAGCATAGGAATTCACCAATGCCTGCCTGCTCAGCGATTCGATAAGCACGCTACAGAAGATCAAAGCGGGGTATAAAAAAAACAAAAAACAGTGGATCCCTCTGATACAGCAAGCAGCAATTCGCAAAACCACCTTTACTTTAGTCGGAGGGTACGATCGATTGAAAGTCAATAGAGCAGACGACTTGGTTAGCAATGAGAGGAATGGTCTGTCTATGGGCAGGAGAGCCACCATCAATGCCTTAAGAGAGAGTAAAGGCAGTGGTGCTCTTGATATTGAGAACAATATCTGAAAAGACTGCATTCACGGTATTCTAACTGGGTAAACTTGACAAGAAACTAATCGTTAGGTTAACTACAACAAAACGGAATTTGTTAGATTCAAAAAAACTTACACTTAGATAAATACTCTATACCTATGACCATGTCTGATGTGTGATTATGATAATTTTTCAAAGAAGAATGAACATGTGACTATAGTGCATTTCTACAATGTTATGTCTATCCCGACAACCAGCTGTCTCCTGTAGAGTGACATCCCCCGTGTAAACTTCAGTTCGAACAACGATGCTCCACTGGAAACGGTCAATCCACTTTATGCGTGCTGAAATTGCTAACTTTTCTATTCGCAGCTCTGATACTGTTATAAACGAGTTAAAGCGATGAAGCCATTACACTTCAATCAAACTGTAACAAACTGTCAACTTAACGGCTGTGGTCACCACAAGGATTGTTCTGAAACGTTTCTTTATTGAACACCTTAAATCGAGCAATAATGTGTTGTTGGCACGTTTTGGCGTTGACCAGAAGATAGAGTGATGCATGGCAGCAGAATTCCTACATATAGGGTTCAATGGCACTTGTCCGAAGCAATTTAAATAATTTCACTGTCTAGTAAGTATATCTTGAATGTCGGGAGATTATTTAGAAAAAAGAAAAGAAGATGCCAAAGAACCAGTGCACTTATATGTCAACTGATACCAGTATAAAGACAACAGTACATAAGTGTAAGCGCCATCAAACAGACAATAAACATCATATGCATATCAACACTGTGCTACCAGTGCGAAACGTGGAGATTATCAAAAGCTACCGACGTAAAATTAACACCTGTGAAATGAGATGCCTGAGAAAAGCCACTAACTCAACCACACGAGACAACGTTAGAAATGAAATAATCAGACAGACTGTAGCAAGAACACCGGGCAACAAATTCATAGAGACACAGAAGATCACATTGTTTGCTCATTTAGTAAGTTCGCAGCCAGAACAACACCCACACAGGCGCTTGTTATTTCACTCCTGTCAAGTGCCTGATTTTAGGATTTCTCCTTAAGAACCAACAGCACTCAGAAATAATTATGTTGAATCGTTTGGCTCGTATTGGTCTAAGGGATGCCCCATGGCCAATATACGCTCAACTTATTTCTGGAGTAGGGCAACTCACGTTTTGGCACTACAAAATATATCTGTATATGAATACAATAATTCTAGGCACACTTGGCTGGACACCCCCACTACTATAAAAAGAAAGCCCCCAGGTTATGATAGTTTACTATCATAACCATGTTAACACATATAATATTTACGGTTCATACACACAATAATGCTAAACACTTAGAACAGTGAAATAATGACACTTAAGTCATCCATGAAAATGAATGCATGTAATCAATACAACATATACATAAAATAGTGAAGTGGACACCAAATCTCAGTGGATGGATCCCAGAATACAGTGACTAGACTCAACGGTTATTGAAACAGTTCTGGAGGTAACACATTGTCATCATGGGAATCCATTTGAGCTGTGGTGAATAGAGCATGATATAGAAACAAAACTGGCACTTATCAGAGTTCTATGGTTGATGTTTCCCTCAACTCCTGGTGATTTGTCTGTATTTGACTCTGGTAGTTCTGCCTCCAGTGGATTGAGTCATAGAGGAGTACCTCTCCATAGAGGACACTGAAACTGTATAGGAACTCAGCGAGTCTCTCCCACAGGTCAGGTCACAACTCTGTCTCTGAGCTCCACCAAGCTCCTGAAGCCTGGTACACTCGATTATGGATAATCTCTGCAAATGTTCACCTGCTCTGGAGCTCACTCACACTCTCTGGCCCTGTTAAAATGATGGTTGTATATGGCACAACATGATGATGCCAGGTACATTCACTGGTGTTAGCTGGTGGATAGTTGGTTGGTGGATGTTGGTAGGACTGTGATTAATCTGCCAGCTCTTTATAGAGGTTTTATCCCAAGCATAGGAAAAGTCCTAGACACTACATATACACAAGAAGAGATGCATGAGAAACGCCACAAGCCTTCTTAAAGTGAAATTTACTGAGGCGTCGATGAATACATCTGGGTTCTAGGAATGCCGGCAGAAGAATGCCCGCACAAAATCAAGCTTCGCATCGGTAAGAAGTTCCTTGTATACATGAGCAAGGAGTAAACCGGTTTCTAGGAATATTCAAATAACCCCAGCAATAATTATCCTACAGTTGCAAATTTGATAATGACTATAAGTCAAAGCAACTAGAAGGTGTAGACATTATAATTTTATCCGATAAAGGTATATATCGATATAAGGGACTATATACCTTTCCGGACGAGTCCAAGTTTGAAAGTTTTGTCGAGCACGGGTAATACAGGTCCCGACTCTTTTAAGATTATGTGTAGTGGCGTGTCATTCATCGACAGCGCTACACACACAAAAGAATAGAATCGAAAGCAAGTAGCCGCCTTTGGAAAAAATAGATTGATGCCATTAAAGAGGTTTTACATCGACACAGGATGGCAATAGTCAATGCTGCCCATCAAGCAATAGATCGCAGACAGTTCCATCCAAAAACTCTTAACGGTAGAAGTGGAAATTAAGATTGATGATGATGATGATGATGATGATGATGATGATGATGATGATGATGATGATGATGATGATAAGTGTGATACTGTGCTATGAGAAGGTATGAGAGTCATTACCAATGGCAATGGCAAGTATTATAAGCAAGATTCGTCGGCATTAAAGTGAAATACTCTACCCTATGACCTTTCAAATATATATATATATATATATATATATATATATATATATATATATATATATATATATATATATATATATATATATATAAAACCGCGATATCATGCTACCAGATAATGTTCTCATCATCATTGTCAACCATATCTGCCGTTATACAATGTGGAAAGGAATGATTTGCTATCCACAGCACACTGGTTGGTACTGGCTATTATTATGCAGTGAAGATGTCATGTGTTTTTATCGATTCGTATTTTCGCTGCCTACCTCTTGCGTTTGTTGCTGATATTCTGGGATGTAGCGCCTGGGATGGTCTCCGATCTTTGTGGCATTCTAGATGTCCAGACCCTTTGATCTTCCATGTCTTGATGAATCGTGTGCAGTGGGGTGTTCACACAATCTGTCTGACAGTCTCATTATGCACTCGATCTCAGTTGGTTAGTCTTCTGGCGGTTCTCATGCATCTCATGTGTATATGGGCTTTAGATAATGTCTGTCTTTGACACTGGTGCCTGAATGGTGGAATGAATATACATTCTATCATGTTTTAATCATCATGTAGCAAGCAGGCAGTGGTGTATTTTACTGCTACTACTCAAGAAACATCGAATGACCTACCAGTTAGCTCTACAGCTTAGACACCCAAATGTCTCCCTTCCAGCAAAAAAAACAAAAAAATATTCATCTATATCCCTACTTTATGTTATCAATGCCAAACATGGACAATAAATAGGGTACTAGAAGAGAAAATACCTAAATGTGAAATACGCTGTCACTGCAAGGCTACTAACAACACTATGCGAGACAGAGTTATGAATACCAGCATTAGAGAGGAAGCTGAAATAAGACCAAGCCTGTTTTACACTCACAAAGAATAAAATGTTTCGGACATCTAATTAGAATGCAGCCAGACCAGACTGCATATCAGGCTTTCTACAGTA